GAGAGAGAGAGAGAGAGAGAGAGAGAGAGAGAGAGAGAGAGAGAGAGAGAGGAGAGAGAGAGAGAGAGTGAACAATACCTCCCTGTAATCACATTTATCAGCTGCCTAAGCGAGATAGGTAACACACTCATTGCTCTGCGTCAAGCGAATTATCACTTACTTTGAGATAGACGCCACATTCCATCTGATAGGTCAATGATAAAAAAGAAAGCCTATGCAACAATTAATTGTAAAACTATCTCAAGTACCAAAGTCACAAAAATTGCTAAAATCTAAGGTGATGATTAAAGGAAAAAGAAGAATCACCCTTTACTACTGAAGTTTTTCACTGTATTTATTATGGAAAAGTAGAACAGTGATTATGATTTAAATTCAAAGGAACCATACTTTTCAGTAGTGATTTTCTCAAAATCTTTGTAAAGGCAGTTACAACCATTAGGTTTTCATGAAACGAATGACTAATCAAAACATAGTAATATACCATATATAATCTCATCATCTATGTGATGACATTACAAAGATTCGCTCACCCACACAAGGCTAAGATCGGTAAGGCCACTGATTTGTATTTCTTTATAACTCGAATTAATATTATTTAGCGAGCTGTTGTTGTTATTAATTTGAATTTATTGTTATTTTTATTGTTGTTGCTGTTGTAGTTGCTTCGTATAAACACAAACGTAACAGCTACGCAATGCTTCCACATAACGTAATAAGTGTCATTATTAATTTGCTAGGTAATGTCCGCAAAAAGATATTATCATGATATTTTCCTGTATATGAATGCTTCCGTCCAATCCAAAAGCAAGCGACTTTCATTTCCATGATTCTGACCGATAACGATCGTTTTACGCCATAACTGACATCATTAGGAGCATTAAAGAAGAAGGGGTGCTTCGACCCTGCTTGTCAGAACCAACTCGGACTAGGGAGCGGTAACAAAAGACCAAAATATCTTCGCAAAACAAGAATCCAACTCTTTGCCTTCTACGTTCTAAATGAAGAGCCTATAATAACCTTTACAACACAGACGTTAAAAGCTCATTACTTGTCCGTGCGACACCCGTTTACAGATGATGATAATATCATATCAAGTCCATGAATCTCTCCAATCAAATCACAACGACCATTATTTCCATAAAGTCTGCGTTATTGTTCTGTAATTATGTGATTTGATGGACAAAATACAACAAAAAAAGATGAGGGTGGGAGCAAAGATGGGGTGTTGATTTGTTTGCAAAAGAAGCTTTCTAATTAAATCTTGTAATTTCTTTTCTAAACGTTTTTGTTGTTGTTCGTTTTCTTCCTTCTATTGTTGTTCTTGTGCGGGAGCTGATGAGGCTGTTGTTGATGTTGTTTGGGTTTTGATTTGTTTTAGTTTTTCGGTTTTGTTAAGGTTTTATCCGCTTTTCTTGGAATTCTTCTTGTTGCTACTGCTGTTGTTTTTTTAAAATTGTTTTTTTAAGTGTTTTTTTTAATACTGTCGTCGTCGTCGTCATTGTTGTTGCTGCTGCTGCTATTATTGCTGTTGTTATTATTGTTGTTGTTGTTGTTTGTGGTTGTGGTATTGTTATCCTAATCTGTTTTAGCAGAGTCATGCGCGCGGTACGAACATATAAATGGAAAATCTCTTCATCACTACACACAAAAGAAGGGGGCACGATTTCCCAGTCGGGAAGCTTATTTTCATTATTATTAATGATCTCCGTCTGTTTGCTCGGACAGAGGTAATCAAACTACGGAGGTGGGCCAGATCCGGCCCTCGGGGTCAGTTCCCGTGGGCTGCCACCATGCCTACGGGAGGGGAGAAACTTGTTACATGGTGGATGTGTTTGAAGCGTGCTTTTAGGACTTCATCTTCACCTTCATCTATCTCGTTGACTGAATGTCCGTCGGGGCGCTTTTGAAGATCTGGCCATCAGCTTCCTCCATTCCTTTCGGTCTACAGCTTTTCTGAGCGTGTCTTTGAGTTCCAGGCCTGTCCATTCCTTAATATTGTCCTCCCAACTCTTCTTCGGTCTGCTTCTGCTTCTTTTTCCCTAGACGCTGCCTTGAAGGATCATCTTGGCAAGGCCGGGTGAACGGGTGATGTGTCCATACCAATGCAGTTTGCGTTTCCTGACCAGAGTGAGAGTGTCAGCATAATATGGTCCAATTTCATTTTTGATCCGTTTTTAGGACTAGGGTATCCAAATACTTAATAATTTAATTGAACTTTATCGCGCAAATTTAACATGCTTTTACAGACTCCATAACCTCTAGCAAATTTATCACACGCTTGTTCGGATTTAACAAGAAAAACAGTTTAATACTGTCAGCGCTAAGCAATCTCTTTGTTATCCAGCCCTATCTAAAACATTAGGTGACATCTACTTTGATATCATCAGTATCTGATTTATTTTTTTCATTCTTATCTATTCCAGACGATGGAAACGCTCCTAGCCTTGTGTACCCTAGTCACACTAGTGCTGACGTCATCAGGCTTGCCATTCCCCCCTCTGAGTGACGCAGAGATTGATTACGTGAACAATGTAGCCCACACCACCTGGCGAGCTGGCCGAAACTTCCAACAGTCCCAACTGGACATGGTCAAGCATATGCTGGGGTACAACTGGGAGGCCAATGACAAAATGCACAAGAAATTCCAGAACAGGCGACGCGTGGAGGTGAGGAAAGACCTCCCTTCACAGTTTGACCCCCGTAAGAAATGGCCTAACTGTACCTCTTTGGGAGAGATCCGTGACCAGGCCAACTGTGGATCGTGCTGGGCTTTTGGCGCTGTGGAAACTATGAGTGATAGAATTTGCATCCACGGAGGAGGCAATGTTCACATCTCAGCAGACGATATGCTCTCCTGCTGTCCTTACTGCGGAATGGGTTGTGAGGGAGGGTATACGCTCATGGCCTGGATGTGGTACGTCCACGGCGGTGTAGTGACCGGTGGTCAGTATAATTCGTCCGAAGGATGTAAAACGTATTTCTTACCTCACTGCGACCACCACACGAAGGGACGATACAAGCCGTGTGGAGAGGTGACGGGAAAGCCAGAGTGTGTGAAGAAATGCCGAGAGGGTTACGGGAAAGACTACGAGTCGGATAAACACAGAGGGCGAGAACACTACCACGTGTGGGACGTGAGAGAGATCATGCAGGAGCTGGTAGACCGCGGACCCGTCGAGGCTTCCATGGAGGTCTACAGCGACTTTATCTCGTACAAAAGCGGCGTGTATCAAGTGACCAAGGGCGCGTCAAAGCTCGGGAGTCACGCCATTAAGATCTTGGGCTACGGGGTGGAGAACGGTACAGAGTACTGGAATGTAGCCAACTCGTGGAACGCCGACTGGGGAGACCGAGGCTTCTTCAAGATCAGACGTGGGCACAACGAGTGTGGCATTGAGAGCCACGTCATCACTGGTCTGCCTAGAATTTGACCTCTGTGACGTTAAGGTTTTTTTTACGGTAGTAATTACTTTTTAAATTAATTGACTAATTAAAGCAAAACCACAATTTGCATTATTGTTTTTACTTTGTTCCTTTTTTCGATTGCTTATGTGTTTATTTATATTTATGTGTTTATCGATTTATCTGTGTGTTTGTCTATGTGCTTGTTTGTTTGTTAATTTCTGTGGGCTTTATTTTTGTTAATAGTTATTTGGGGTTTTGTATGGAACAGGGGGGTGGGCATACGTGCTATTTGAATGCTATTTATTTATTTTATTTTTTACCTCATTTTTAGTTGTCTTGACCGAATACAAAGCCAGTGAAAATGAGACATAATCTGATATTGTTGTATAGGTGTACGTCAAAAGGCGATCAGTTTTCGTAACACCTGCTTAAGATGATTCAGCGGTCCACTGCATGGGATGTTGAGGGGTGAGAAGGGCGGTTGAGGGGTGGGAGGGGAGGTGAAGTCATGCTCTAGTCCGTGAGTCGTTTGTCTAATCTGCATGCATGGTCGCTGTCTCCTGGAGTTATCTACGTTTGGTCAGTCAGATGGTATGGGGCTACTACAAGTCTTGCTCAAGATTGGGATGCGTAGCATGTATACCACCAAGAAAACGATAGGTGCGAACCATCACAGATGTTTTCCGTGGAAGAGTGAAAGATATACATCTCGTCACTGTTGTTAGCTATAGATCTTCTTATACTTCCAGAAAACTGACTGCTTTTAGTATTTTATTTTGCAATTTTTAGAAGGGCGACGGATTTCAATTCCAAACTCGACAGAAACTTCTTTATGTGTTGCCTTTGTGTTCGAAACATATATTCTAATAGATCTACTGTTTTTCCGATCATATCCGTTAGAATTGTAAGTGATAGGAGTGCTTCAACCAAGGGGACAAAGCGTTGTAATCAATTAAATGTAGACAATTTACGTCTTTATCGACGCAATTTAGACACAGGGCGGATGGTTTCGACAGTGCTTGTTTCGGCTAACCCACGCTTAGAGGAATACAAAGTCCCAGCAGACAAAGATACTTAATAAAAATGAGCACCACCCGGGAATCGAACTCACTTTGGCACTTACAGGCAGGGTTGAAACAACGGATAGACAGAGGTACTCGAAGGAATAACTCGCCATCACGAAATTGAACTCACGTCTTCTGTATGAAAAGCAAACAGCTTGACTGATGCATAAGTTCTGATGTTTAGCAGACAGAGAAGACAGCGACAAATGTATGCAGAGTGTTCTGTATACGCTGTCGAAGCCGGGAATACTACAGACAAGACCCAAATAGAACCTGGACCTCGTTTAGATTCTAGACGACAAAACTTGAAGAAATTAAATTGAGCATGACGAGCTATTTACGTCGTTCACGCAAATAGACGGCTCGCGAAGAAAACATAGCATAATTTAAAAAGGCGGGTTTCATTGTAGGCTTTAACTTCCTGATTCTATTTTTGTCTCAACTCCACGTTTAGGGCTGGACTTTCGTCTGTTTGAAAGTGTGTGAAAGCTACCCAAGCAACAAGCCTGCGAGTCACGTTTGTGTTCTTATCTCTAAGACAATTTATTCCAGTATATGTTTCCTCTAATCAAGTCATACGATCCTTTGACTCTGTATCACGCTCGTTTATTCTTTACCATACGCTCACTTATTTTTCACTGGTTTCAATTTACAAAATATGTTTTGGTTTAATTTTTGTCTAAAGAAAGATCTGTTGTAACAGCGTGGTGGTTGAGTTGTTCTTTGTGGGGGTGGTTAGAATGTGGCAAGATGCGGGAGAGAGAGAGAGAGAGAGAGAGAGA